AAAGTGTATAAATATGTTGAAAATAGCCTCCCCTCAAAACTGGCAGAGTGCCCCTCCAGCACCCACACCTCGCCCTTAAGGCAGGAGGGGGCAGAAAGGAGTGAGCAGCTGTTGGGAGGCATTTAGGGGAGGGAGTTGGCAAGAAGGTGGTGTTCAGGGGGGTCTAGGAGGATGGGGCAGGAAGAGGTGAAGTGGGGGCGCAGCCTTGGATAAGGGGGTCGAGCCAGGATAGAGCACCCACCGGCAAAACCAAAAGTCAGCACCTATGAGTCAGTGTGGCAGGGTTACACCCTGCGCGGGCGGATTTGCTGCCTGTACAAACTTCTCCAGCAGCTGCACAAAGTTGTTGTAATCATGTCACACAGTGAACCCCACGCTGCTACCGTTACCCTCCTTGCTCCCCTGCCTGGGCCCACCCAGCCAATTGCTGCCTCCCCAGCACTACACATGACCTTTGACTTACGTCAGTCATAGCGCTCTTCCATCGCTGTGCTCCAGCTTGGTTGGTGCTCTCTGTGCCTGCCCCGTAAGTGCCATCACGTCATTGGTCAAGGGGATGTCTGGGGGTGGGATTTGATGGGGACTCTGTTCTGAGCGGCGGTGTGGTAAGGGGGCTGGGCCGGCCAGGCCAGGGGGGTTGGATATGGGCCAGAGGGTCTCGGGGGCAGTCAGGGGATGGAGAATGGGGGCATTGGATAGGGTGTGGAAGTCCCAGGGGGCCTCAGGGGTGGGGGTGTGGCTAGGGGTCGGGGCAGTCAGGGGACAGGGGGGTTGGATAGTTGGTGGGGTTCTGGGGGGTGATTAGGGGGCAGGGGGGTCTCTGGAGGAGGCGGTCAGGGGACAAGGAGCGGGGGGCAGGGGTTGGATGGGTTGGGAGTTCTGGGGATCCTGTCAGGGGGCAGGGAGCAGTTGGATGGGGTGGGAGTCCCGGGAGTCGGGGTGGGGCTAAGGGTTGGGTCGGGACAGGTAGGGGGTAGGGTCCTAGGGAGGCAGTTACAGTGGGGGGCGGTCTTAGGAGGGGGCAGTCAGGGGACAAGGAGCAGGGGGGGCTTGGGAATTCTGAGGGGGGCAGTCAGGGGGTGGGAAGTGGGAGGGAGTGGATCGGGGCGGGGCTCCCTGAGTGCACACCCTAATGAAATGTGCTGCACACGCCTATGTTATGAGTCAAATGCATTTCAAAACTGACTGATTCCTTTGAATACTTGTGAGTGTCAGATATTTCTCCTGATTCATCTCAGATTCTCCTACCCCTCCTGCAAGGGCCCTTCACCAGGATGGCCTAGCACACATCATCCTGGCACTTCTTTGTTAAAGAGCCAATGCACCACCCTTGAGATGTCACCTTTTGACCTGCACTTACAGCTCTGATTGTCTTTCCCCCAGGTGTGTCCATGACATGGAGCCTCAGGCTGGTTGGCTGGTATTCCTTGTCCTGAGTCTGGTTCCTCTTTGCCTTCCCATCCCTTTGCGGGACTTCCTGTTGGAGCAGGAGAACGTCCGCCGGATCGGTGGCAACCTGGTGCTGGGGAAGTGGGAAGAGCAGGTCAATGAGTATCTAATAAGCCTCAAGGAGAAGGAAGTGGCCAAGGCCCAGAAGACTGGATATTTCCCACCCAGCATGCACTTCTTCAGGGCCAAAGGCTTAATTGATCAAAGTGCAGTGTTCAGCATCTTGAAACGTATGCCGAAAGGTAGGGATTCTGGCCTGAGAGTTCTTGGTTGTCCCAATGCTTTCAGTGATAAAACAGAGACCAGGAGGGGGGCAAGAATCTGTCAGTGTGAAACCCCTGCTGCACCCAAACTAAAAGGACCTTATAACAGGTGCTGAGTAGAACAACTTCAGATCCTGGAAGGAGCTGTATTAGGGCTGGCTCTTTTGGGCTGGGGGAAAGGAGGAATTACACTGGCCAGGGAGGGTTTCCAAACATGTGGGTATCCTGTATAACAGTACAGCATGGACCTTTCCAGCACCATTTACCTCACTTGGGAGGAGAAAGAAGGCAAAATAATATAATGTGGGAAAGACACTGACCTCTGTGTAGCGCACTCCAGCGCTGGGGGTGCTCATCCTTCCAGTGCGTCCCAGGCCTGTGACTGACCTTGTATAACATGCTGCCATGTGGTGGTGGTCACATGTGTCCTTATACAAGTAGCTGTGTACAGCATAGATCTATTAATGCGTTGGAGACTGTGTGTTTGTTTGATCTATAGAATGTCTATATGAAAACTGAATTTCTGTTAGGGCCTTTCAGTTGAGACCTTAAAAACTGAGTTCTGATCCACACAGATGAGAAAAATCTCTGTTTGTAAGTGCAGGAATTTGCCCTATCATCCTTGGCCGAAACTTCCCCTCCCTCCACCTTTGTGTAGCATGATGTGTACAAGCTGGCTACAGCCTTTCACCTCAGAGATGGCTGCATTACACCAGATGGTGCATACATAGTGTGTAAAGTGCTTTGGGATGATTTAGGATGAAAGTCACTATATGAGTGTAAAATACATGCATAGTGTCCTACACATTTGTTTTGCTAGCAGTCTGGAACATGTCAGCATTTTAAGAATTAATCCTTAATAACTATAATATACTGAGTGGTTGGGAGGATATTTTTGACCATCTGAAATCTAAGCCATCCAGTCTAACCAGCAGGGAGTTAGCTATTGCTGGCTCTCTGAATTGCTGTGACCTTGACAGTTCCATGTGGGAAGCAAGGAGTTAATGAATTTGTACATCTGAAGGCCTTGACTCTCAGCTGACTGACTTCTTTCTACCCTTCCACTTCTCTCTCTGATGCAGTGAAAAGTATTCTAATTAGGCTTCCTTTTCTAGGTGAAGACAGAAGGCTTTCACTTTGAAACCTGAGAACACACTTCCCTCTTGTGCAACGTGTTCTCCTTTCAGATTGATCTGTTCTAGGTACCAGATCCCAGATTGGAACCCTCTCAATCTGGCTATTGGGGTGCAAGGCAGAGGCTTGCTCTGGGGAAGATTTGTGGAGAGCGCATTTATACAAAAAGTAAACTGCTTTGCTCCCACCATTATGAATTGGTCTGTTTCTGTCTGAACAAGAGCCATCTCCCTAATATGCTAGCTTCTCCCTGCGGTGATGTCAGACTCCGGGGTTTATGGCATCATGGTTGGTTGCCACAGAAATAACTGAGATGTCGAACTCCCCATTATGCCTTCACTGCTGAATCAAATAGCAGGGAATTTGCGGTTTAAAAATATAAGTATCTTTAGCTTTTTGAAAAAATGGCAAGGAAAATATGTAACTCTTTTTTGCCTTTACATCCCTTTCCTCCAAAGGATCTTAAATCGCTTCCCAAGCACTAGTGAATCTCCTGTAGCTTCTTTACAGTATTTATAGTAAGTCCTTTGTGAAAGGGATTATGTCTCTATATTTGTACAGTGCCTAGCACATTGGGGCCCCAATCAAGGGTGGGGCTTCTGACCATTATGGTAATACAAATATTAAATTGTAATATTAACTCCAGACTGCATATAGGAAACTGAGGCACAGAACGTGCTGTCTAGATTTTGGGGACCCAACTTTAGATTGCTGTGGCCTGTTTTTTCAAAGATGCTCTCCCACCATAGTTCTATTTAAGTCAGGAACTTTGGTTGCTCAGCACCTTGAAAGTCAGGCCATTTAAAATTGGGCACGCAAAATCAGAGAGTACTTTTGAAACTTTGGCCTTACGTGACTTGTCCAAAGTCACACACAAAAATGTGTAGCAGAGCCTAGGATAGATCCCAGATCTCCTGACCTGCAGCCTTGCATCCTAACAACTAAGTCATGTTTTCTTTAAGTCAAATACTCTAATAATGTAACTATTGTGTTTATAAAGTGCCTCTTGACACTCAAGGAGTTCGGGGTAATCCACAGTCAATTAAATTGCTGTGATATGCAAATTGATACATCAAAAAAATCCAGATCCCACACCATCTTTTAAAAAGGGAGGTTTTACACAAGAGCTAACATTTAAAAAAAAATCTCTAGAAAAGGAGAGTTCTGGGATGATATTTGATAATGCAGAGGGATGGTCTGAAGTGTGTGTGTGTAAGTGTGTATGTGTGTGTGTGTGATGAGTTTCACACTCCATGGACTGTTGCAGTAAAAGCTCCGTCAGTTGCCAATCTACTGCAGGATAGCGGTGCATCTCAAGGCAGGTAGTGATGGCCAGCAGCAGATAAGGTGTAAATTTTAGTCAGGGTAATTAGCCATTGGAACAACTTACTAAGGAGGGAGAGGGATAGCTCAGTGGTTTGCACATTGGCCTGCTTAAACCCAGGGTTGTGAGTTCAATCCTTGAGGGAGCTATTTAGGCATCTGGGGCAAAAATCTGTCTGGGGATTAGTCCTGCTTTGAGCAGGAGTTGGACTAGATGACCTCATGAAGTCCCTTCCAACCCCAATGTTCTATGATCATGGTGGATTCTCCATCAGACCATTTTTAAATCAGGATTGGATGTTTTTCTAAAATATCTGCTCTAGGAATTCATTTTGGGGACGTTCTATGGCCTGTGTTGTACAGGAGGTCAGTGGTTATCACAGTCATCGCTTCTGGCCTTGAAATCTATGAATACAAGACAGAAATGTGTGTGTGTGTTTGATTAAGTAGATGAATAGAGCTCTCTGTTCTGACCTCAGAATTCCCCAACATGTCAGTATCTGAGGTTTTGGTCTGGCCCACAGTAAAAATAGGGGCTAGATGAAGAAAATCACATCTGAATCCAAACTGCTTAGATCCAGGGATTTGGTTCAGGTCTGTCTGTTAAATAGTATGTGTGGTAAAGTGCTGCTTAGTGTGAAAGTTCCTCTTTAAATCAGTGGGGTGTGAGCCAGCTCTCTCACGGTGAAGTGTGTCTGAAAGACCTTTAATAACTCAGTGCATTTTCCATCCCAGTGGAGAAGTAGAGCGTAGAACTCCCTATTGATTTCCCCCCTCCCCTCAAACTGAGCCATCACGCTCTGCCTGCCCTGTGTTTGATGTGGAATGTGCCATCTGTGTCTCACATGGGGGGGAGGCAGGGCAGGTTTGCAGTCTTGCTGCTGTGGGGGCTGCTCATGACTGTATCTATGAGACCCTCCAGGCACACGCATATGGGTGGATTTAATTGTCGTCATGTTGCTTCACTTCAGCAGCCCTTTCTTGTTATGTTTGCCCTTTCCCCCACAGGTGCTGTCTTACACCTGCATGACTATGCAATATTGAGCGTGGACTGGCTGGTGCACAATGCCACCTACCTACCTGACTGCTACATCTGCTTCACCAATGTGGGTACTATTCAGTTTAGGTTTTCCAAGCCTCACCCACCCAGCCCAGTGCCGCCGGGCTGTTCAGAGTGGGTGTTGCTAAAGACTTACCGGAAGCAGCTGCACAACATCAGTGAGTTCGATAACAGGTGTGTGAGCAATGATCTGAGGCACTCTGGAGTTTTATAGCACTATTATTCTTTGCTTGCTGGTCATTTGCTAACAGGACACATGTCTTGCAAGGTCACTCTGGCCCATCGTCCTCCTGGGGTGGCTGCTCTGGAAACTGACCTCTCAATTTAAAATTACATTTTATACACATGCACACATGGGACTCTCAATTTAAAATTGCATTTTACACACACACACCCTGTAACAAGCATGTTATAGTTGCAAAGTCAAACAAGCATAAGTTAGGGAATGCACTGTCTTGTGTACTGAATGAGCCTGGGGGTTCCTGTGGGGAAAAAATAGTATGTGATCCTGTAATGAAAGATTTTCCCATAATGCATGAGCACAGGCAACCTTAATTCTGGCTTTTCCTCACTTTTGAGTGCTTGACTGTCCAATCTTAATGGTCTTTCAATGTAGGGTTTTTCAAAATGTAATATACACAAATATTTAAACAGAGACTGTTTGCTCCTTAGGGCACTGATCACTTATCAGATGGAAGATACCTTGGAATGGAGCATTAATGATTAGTCTCTAAGGTGCCACAAGTACTCCTGTTCTTTTTTCAGATTGAGGAGCTACCAAGCATTAAAATGCCAGTTAGTGCAGCTCCCCTTCCTTTGCTAAAAGCAGAGGGAGAGTTCTGCCTTCTGTTGGGCTAGAGAGCGCTGGTTCCCCAGAGCATCCCCTCCTCCTCGGCTGGTGAGGTGAGAAGTCAGCAGGCTGAGGAAACTGGAAATGGGATCAGAAGGAGAAGGTGGTGCTGCGACTGAAGAGTTTCTAGGGCTCCCAGCCTTGCTTGTCAGTAGGCTGAGTAGCAGCAGTACCTCATGGGAGAAGCGGGTGTTTGCCAGCAGCAAGTCCCATCTCCATCAGCTTCTTCTAGAGGAAAGACTGTTCCCCTGCTGGCTTTCCACCCCTTCCACGGTAGAGTAGGGAAAAGGGAGACCATGACACCAGCTCCCCATTGCCTCTCCAGAAGAGGGGGAGAGAAATAATAGATGAGGGATTTTGCATCAAATCTCCTTTTGAAATATCTGAACAGAGGTGACTGCCCTGGATGTTTCAGGGTGTTCTGAGGAACATCCCTCAAGCCCCCCATTCTGTTTTATTTTACAGAATACAGACTCTCCCTCCTGATCTAATCAAGAGAATATAGGAATAAGGGTGGGAGAGCACCAGGGAAGTACCTCTGCAGAGGACCCCACACCACATGCTTGGCTGTGCTGGCTAGCGGCTTGCTTGGGACATGAACTTATTTCAGAAACACTTATTGCCATTCAGTGTCCCCTTATCTTTTATTTTACAGTAATACCTGGAGGCCCCAACTGAGTTAAGGGACCCATTGTGTTAGGTAATGTACAGACTCATAGCCCTGGTCTACACTAGGAATTTACATTGGTATAGCTATGTCTCTCAGGGGTGGGAAAAACTCAGGCCCCTGAGAGACGTAGCCTTACTTACCTAACCTCCAGTGTAGACAGCACTAGGTCAGCAGAAGAATTCTTCCATCGCCCTAGCTACCATCTCTCAGGGAGGTGGATTACCTAGGCCGACGGGAGAACCCCTCCTGTCGGTGTACACAGTGTCTACACTGAAGCACTGCAGATGTAGTATTTTAAGTGTAGACAAGCCCATAATAAGAGACAGTCCCTGCCCCAAAGAAGCAATCTAAATACACAAGAGAATAGGGGTTGGGGGGGATGGAAACAGGCACAGGGAGGTGAAGTGACTTGTCCAGTTCACCCAGCAGCAGAGGCAGGAGCAGGAACAGAACCCAGGTCTCCTGAAACTCAGCGCCCAGGTTTATCCACGGGACTGTGCTGCCTCTCGCTGCCCTTAACAGGTCCATCAGCACAAGATGATGTAATGCACTGTCCCCACATAAAGTCCAGGCACATGATCACAGCCACCATACTGAGGAGCTCCCCCTCTTATTTTGATCTCTTCTCTGGGTACTAATCTGGGGGTTGGGGAGGTGTTCTGGCAATGGAGGAGTTGGTCTCTTGCCAGGAATGGGCCCCAATCCGCTATGTCTTTCAGTTTCTGGAAACACTCCCAGTCCCTTGAACATGTGCCCCGCAAGTGACCTCCTTTCCTTCTGTTTGCCCTGAGCATCAACAGGCTGAAGGAAAGAAGATGTTGGTGGGTGGGAACTGATGGTTAGTTGGGTGCCTGCAAGTAGTGTCAAGGGCATATGGCATCTGGGGAAGGTCCAGGCTCTCTTATGTACAAGATGGGGAGGATCAGCAAGCATGAGGGGAAGGGAGAAAGTGTTTTCCAGGGGCTGTATCCCTTCCACTAGTTTTCAATGTGGAAGTGGAATGAAGGACTGGAAACAGACAAACCAAACAATCCCTACAATCAAACTGTTTATTTTCAAGTTTAAAAGTGGTGTGGGGAAGAAGGTTAATACAACAGCCTTACTTCCAAAAATTACAGTGTGGTTATGAAGATATGACCACTTCCTAAAGGTAGGGATGTCATTTGCTGTGGGGCAAGAAAGGCAGTTGCCGCCCCCGCCCCCAACTTTTCATAGGTGTACATCCTATACACCTCCCCCTCCACCATTGCAGGATATGATATAGTCACATATAATGTTCTGTATGCTGACACACAACTTTGCCTCCCCATCCAGACTATTTCTGAAATGATGCCCCTGCTTAAGGGTGATCTGCAAAGTTAAAGGGACACGTCTTTATATTTTTTGCTGCTTTGTAATGTAGAGAGGCCCTGGAAGTGTGTGTGTTATTTCCCCCCCCACTCCTCCCCATTTTTTTTTTTCATATTAGAAATTCAGGTCTTGTCTGACCTGACCCTAGAGTACTCTGCGGGGGCTGGAGAGCTAGTGAAGTGGTGATATTGCAAGAGACTGAATGCCGAGCAACAGAGAGGGGAAGAGGTTCATGGTCAGGAAGTTTAGAAACATTTAAAAAAATCCTCCCCTATTTAATTCCAATGATTAACATTTGGAAGGACTTTTTTGTTAAATATTCAATACCTCTGATGCTGTGGTTTAGTTGAGTGCTCACAATAAACATTCTTGGACGGAGACACTCAGGGAAGCAAAGTTGACATTGCTGATATTCTTAAGGTGAAAGAGCTCTCTGTGGCCGGGGCCCAGCATATCTAAAAGATCAGCTAAAGCTCCAGGATGTAGACTCCACTCCTTGAGCACAATGGAACTTTCTGCCATGAGGGTAAAGCTCATCAGTGTAGCAGATGAAGCTTTCTTGGGTGCTGGTCTCAGGCAATGGAACAAATTTCCATGGGAATCAAGGACTATCACAAACCTCACCACCTTCTGCTCCAAGTGCAGGGTGCACTTCTTCAGCCTACTTTCTTTAACAAAAACTCAGAGCAGAGTGTATGTTACCAAACAAAACTTCATTGCACTTTCAATTCTCCCCTTAGAAAGAGGATGAGAGAGAAAATGAACCACGTGATAGATGTTAGTCATGTTGCTTAATACATCACCGGAAGGTGCTTAGATACTATGGTGATGAATGCAGCTTAAGGACACATATAGAATAGAAAACAAGCAAACAAACCTTTCAGGCCTTCATTCTACACCATAAAGAAGCAAAACAGACTTTTGCAGGTCTCCTGTAATTTTGCCCCCTTGTGCCTATGCATTGCAATAGCATTGTTCAGTACATAGTCACACACGATCCAAGCAGGGTCTTTCTAGCTAAATCCAACCACTGACTTGGGTTTTTGTCCCTAGAGAATCAGCAAATCCCAGATTTGTCTGAGTAGGTTATTTGTGGCAAAGAGTTGGCCTACTGATCCCTTAAAGGAGTAGCATGTTATCAAGGATGGATTGCTATATCCTCACAGTTATACATATGAATAATTAGTCTCAAGGGAAGGGGAATTTGTAAGAAATGTAACAATTAATTTTTTTAGGAGGGGTGTTCGTGGCTTATTACTAGCTCTAACACAAGAGCACAGACTACATAGACACAACAGGCAATATATAAGAGATCCTATGTAAGGAGCCACTCTTTCTCCCCTATATACACGGGAAAAAGAGCACTACACATATTTATTGAAGAAGTCTTTGTGTTCAGGAAAATCTATGGAAAAGTTACTTCGATAAATAACTGCTTATTGGTCCTTATCTAGAAGTAGACTCGTATAGTCACATGAATAGACTCACATGGTCTTTTGACCCACCCTGAGGTTTTCCTTCAGTGTTTCTACACCTGATAGGGACAAACTCCAGGCTCACCCTCCAGGCAGGTATTCTCAGCTGAACTTCTGCATTTTGAGAATAACTTTCCTTGAGCCAGTATCTGGGGGAGTTTGCTTCAACTGGAACTCTGCCTCTGTTTTCCTAGAGGCTTGCTATGCAGTCCAGGTTCTTCCCACAAAAAATCTTTCCACCCTCCCCCACTGAGCAGGAGCATGCCCTCTCTACTTAAGGCCAGTCTCCAGCTGAACTCAGTTAGATAAAAAGCAACAGAGGGTCCTGTGGCACCTTTAAGACTAACAGAAGTATTGGGAGCATAAGCTTTCGTGGGTAAGAACCTCACTTATGCCTCTGGTGCTTGCATTCCTGGTTTCTAGGGTGATGCTCCACTGTCACCACTCAGTGCTCCCCAGAACATGTCTGAAATGCAAAATACCATTGCATGCAGTAATACGAAATACTTAATATATATATGCCTCCCTGCTTAAGATGTAGTTCTTTTCCATTTTATTGTTTTGTTTCCTGAACAAGATTTTGTGTTGGCTGATGTTGTGTATTAATGGAACAAAGGCCCTGTTGTCATGCCCAAGAGGACAGAGCTAAAGTTATTGTGGAATCCTTAATTCTGAATTTCCTGATTCTTGTGCATTTAAAATGTCATTCTTAAGGTGGCGTGAATGTCACTTGTATATAATTTTGCTTTAAAAAATAAAAACAACCCCCCACATGAATAAAAGTGAGGAAGAAGAGCAGCCAGAACCACAGGAAGGGGCTCCTTAAGTGACTAAAAAAGCAACCAGTGCACAAGATGCCTTGTGAACAGACTCCATGTTGTGGTCACCCCTTTGAGGTCTCCTGTTCCACCTTCTGACCAGGCCCTGCACTGCTTGTTTATGAGGTTAGACAAGATCACATCTTATAGCAATAGGACAGTGACTTTTAATTCTAGACACTGATGCCTCTTGGAACAAGATAATAAGAGCATGAATCATATCTAACTCTTCTATATAACATAGCAGAGCACTATCGCTAAGCCATCAGGGAAGACATCACACATTAAGTAGCAGTCACAGTTATCAGAGAGAAGCAACAAGCCATGAGAGTATTCTCCAGTGATCTTCCATCCAAGTACTAGCCAGGCTCAAACCTGTTTAGCTTCTAATATTCGATAAAATCAGACCTACTCAGACAGATAAGACTGTCAGCTTTTAAGCATCCAGCTATTTCCCCCTTGGTTGCAACTTATGGTAACTCCTACAGTTTTTCCATCCCCAAATGAACCTATTTACCAGTTGTATTGCTATTTGGATTTTACACCTCCAGCTTGAACATTTGGTAAACTAATGTTCAGGTGGCAAGTTGAAAAGTTAAGAGAGTTACTGCCATTGGAAAAGTGACCACCAGGAGTCCAGGATTGGAGCTGTTTAGAGGATAACTATTACCGCAGTGTAAATGCAAACAGAATTGCCTGCAGCTGCTCATGGTAATTGCAAGATAATCAAGTTTTTTCTATTTCCACCAAACTCCCCTTGTTACTACTACTTGGTGCCCTCTATGCTTGTGGTGAGGAAATGTATGCACAGGCAAGTTCTGTAAAGTAAACAGAATACCATCCCAGTAAGAAGCATGCAGGAACTGAGTCATGCCAGTTGGTTCCGAGGTGGCAAATCTGAAAAATCAAATCCATTGCTGATGTCGGCAAATTATGAGTTTTGGATTGGTATAATGGAGTAGCCAGATTGGTTCAGTAGGACTAAAGGTGGGTTTTTTTTTTGATTGATTGATTGATAACCATTTTATTCTGTAGATTCAAAAATCCTTAATGTCAGAAAGGCACTAAAGTGTGAAAGTAACTTGTTTAGTAAAGGTGTGATATTGAAACAATGCCGCCTCCTAGTGACTAGAGGGTGTTACCCTATTGGAGGTAGTAGAGAGTAGAACTGAGATCCCAATCATTGCAATTAAGGTGATGGGGATGGTTATATTTGCAAGATTAGGTTGTTAACCATATGTCAGCCATGTTCTAATTTGGGAGGCAGAAGGCAATTACTTTAAAATAATCGCCTCTGTAGTTTAAATTGGAAAGTATTTGTATTGTGATAATATGCCTAGAGGCTCCAGTCAGGAAGTGGGCCCCCATTGGGTGAGACACTATTCTTCATGTTCCTTCCTGTCTCTTCCCCTCCACTATGTGACCTAAAACACACTGGGTAGTGCTGCTGATGCAGAGTAGCTCCCCCACTCCACCTCTGAGGTGGCTGTGGGTGGCGGATCCCCATATCCGTACAGCTTGGCCTTTGGTGGGAAGGCCCATATCTAAATAGAAGGGATTATATTGTTCTGTGACTCCTGGCTACAGAGCTGCCAGCTCATCTTGTGTATACTTCTAAATCCAGCTGTCCTGTTTCTCTTTCTGTAGTTTGCTGAAGAACCTGACCCTGGTGACTGACAACCCTGAGTTGACATACCCAACGCAGGCTTTCATTTGGAGAAAATTTGAGAATGTCTTTTCCACTGCTTCTGGCCTCATCAGCTATGCACCTGTGTTCAAGGCCTATTTCTATCAGGGGCTGTTGGAGCTCTATGAGGATAACGTACAGTATGTCGAGATGAGAGCTATATTTCCACCGGTACACACTTTTTGACTTCTCTAATATTATTTTAAAATCTTGTTTCTCGAACTTTTCTCCAGCCCGGTTTTTTATTTAGATTCAGACCCTGGCACTGCTGACCATATGGGGGTGGAAAAATCTGCTTCATTTGAAAGCTCTTTGCTGGGAACTTGGTATGACAGTCTCCTCAGGGAACCCAGAACTGTAAACCACTGTGTCACCCTTTGGCTCAGCAAGTGAGAGCTTGGCTGCTGCTAAAGTGTGTGGTCAGCTCCCTGACATTCCAGTCTATTTGCCTTGCCAGCAAATTCCTTGAGACTCGCCAGTCAAAATCTTGCCTTGCAGGTAACAACCAGTGAACCCCAGTTCCTGAGTTCCCCCAGAGATATGTCTCTGCAGTGTCCAGTCCTCCTTCCTGGACACTCACAGAAGATATTACGTTTGCTGCCTCCAAGAGAGGGAGCACACACCAGCCTGGTAGATTAGCAGAAAACTCACGTTTTACTTCAATACAACAGCGCTAACACAGTCTATAGTAAAACTAAGAATAAGTTTAGTAACAAAGATCAGAGATTTAAGTGGCACCAGGCAGAAGAAAAGAGATTGAAAAGGGTTACAAACAAAACAAAAATAACATGCTTTCTAGTGCCTAAAACTTAATTCTAACAAGCTATATCTTGGCCTATAACAGTTCCTCGCTTACAGCTAGCCACCAGCAGCTCCTGTCTTCCTCACCAAGAGGATCCACTATTCACAGGCTCTGAGTTTACTGTCCCCTATGTCTCCTAAGTGATGGAGCACTAGAATGTCCCATTATAGCTCCCAACATCCATTGTCTTGGCCTTAAGAACCAGGAAGACTCTCTGGGGGTGCAGACTCTGTCCCCCGGTTTGTTTACTAAGCTGTTTCCTCTGCTGCTTGTTAGCTTTGTTTATCTTGTATGTAAATGTACTTTAATGTGTATGGCTTACAAAGCTTGACCCAGACAGGTAAATCCACATTCCTTTGTCTAAGGCAGGCTTGTTTATCAAGGCTATCCCCAAAACATATTTTAGGAACATTCTTTCCAGCATAGATACATAGCCCTTTGTACACCACCCCTGCAAACATCACACACAATGATATGACCAGTGTATAACCAGCTTTCATAAAAGACCTTGTTCAATGTACGTTTATAGTACAATAATAGTATATTCAATCACTTACTCTTTGGGGTTCAGACCCCTGTTCATCCCCTGGGGTGTCTGGACTGTGACTGTCACATTTGGTTGTTCAGGGGAATGAAATGGGTGATGCTCTGTGTATTCTGCAGTTGGAGGGCTATGGAATTTGCTGTGGTATCCATCCCTTGCTGCAGAACTGTGCTCCAGAATCTGACCTGTTTGTTTTTTTGTTTCTATTCTTCATAAGCTTAGGAACACAAACTGGTGCAGTTTTGTCTCCAGAATGTATAGACAGCCTGAAACAGTAGCTCTGAAAGTTGTGAACGTCTTTCTTTTCAATTAACACTGGAACCTAAGGATAATAATGTTGATGTTTAAACTATCAGGTTTGTTCACTGATTGTCACCTATAACCAGTATAATTATCCCATAATCCCAAACTGCCTTGGATGCCTTCCTAGGTGCCCAAAGCCCTGACTGACTCCTGCTCAGATGATAACATTTTCAGCTTCACCTTGACAGCTTTACAATGCAGCCACATGTTGTCAATACTGTAATCTGCAACACATTGAAAACACAGAAACATTGTGAAACAAATAAAATTTAATATCAAAATAAATAAGAGGCAACCATTCATTGTCCCATTTAATACAATAAAAACCTCCACTTAAAAAAAAAAAGTTAATGAAAATTCTGTGTAATTTCCAATTGGTCTCATCATAAGGACACAGAATCCAGAGGCTTTGCAACAGAATGTAGGCACAGCTTGCCCCGGAATACGTAGAGCCTTGTGAATGGGCTAACTCTTTTTAGCATCTAGGTTTCTAGTCTCACTCCAGACTACATTGGCATTGACTATAAATCATTGCTATCTAATGGACTACATGAAATGGGTGGTGGTCTCAGTTCAGTTCGAACAGTAGGTATCTATATCACACACACCATCACTGCAATTGGTTTTAAGTACTGACCTCGTTGGCATCTGCTTTAGTAGTGAGACCGGTGCTGTTGTGAATACAGAGACTGAGCCACCTTCTCACTTGTCGAAGTGTTCCTAGCTCAGCCACAGCATCCCCAGAGCGGACATTCTGTCACTTTCTGCCAGCACTCTCATTTGAATGGGGGGGAAAATGACACAGATTTGTGTGTTTTGCTTTGTGGAGGATGGTGATTGGCCAATTTTGCTTGACTTACTGGTCCCAAATGTCTGTTGAGGTGGCAGCTGGGAAGAGAAAACAGTTGCAATGTCAAACTGCTTTTGTGGTTTATCAGTGTCAACGTTGCAATGGACCCATGAGCAGAGGTAGACTAGCCAAAGATGTTTGGGATGTTAAAAGCAGTAATACCCTTTTTTGAGTAATACCCTCATTTACCAGGCAGCCAGTGAGCCCAGATGGAAAATTTGTACTTGGGAGGAGAATGGAGGAAAGCTGTACTGGAAAGAGGCCAGCGCTTGTAGCATAGCTTTCTGGCCTATCTCTCCCTATCACTCCCAACTACACTCTACAATAAAGGTGGACTGGGTGCAAAGGGGCAGGCTGACACCTCTGCTGCTAGAGATTCATTTGTAGGGCTTGGGCAACAGTATCTGTTAATTGTAAAAGCCATCTTTGCAATGAAACAAGCCAGAAACTGACACTAAAACAAAGTAAATTAAAGGCAGGATTGGAAAACAGCATACATTGTAGAAAGGCCCCCAAAATACAGCTGTGTTTGCAAAGCCAGCTGTAGAAAGTCTTGGAAAATGTCCTTTTGATAAGCTGCAAAATTCTACTTGGCTTCTTGTGTCTGTGAAGGCGGTGATTACAATGCAAGAGAGGCCCAGAGTGGTCAAGACCAGATGGGGGAGAATGAGATGAATATAAGGGAGAGAGAGCAGGGGAATGAAGAGAAAGGTGAGGAGACCCAAATTAGGGATGGAGTGGGGAAGAAGGGCAGGGAGATGGAAGAAGAGGGAAGGAAAGGACAAGGTGAGAGTGGGGGATGGAGCTGGTGATAAAGTCCAGCTGTGATAAAGTCTGGACAGTGCCCCTGCTGCTTATTATTATTAATATTATGGTACCTTCTATAGGCCCCAACCAAAACTGAGGTCACATTGTGCAAGGCGCTGTACGTAGCCATGTGCTGAAGAGCTTGCAAACTAAATAGATGAGACAAATGAAGCCGTATTCTCCCCATTTTACAGATAGGGAGCTGGAGGTACAGAGAGATTAACTGACTTGCTCACGGTCACTGAGGAAATCTTTGGTAGAGGGGAAAATTGAACCCCAATATCCTGAATTCCAGTCTAGTACCTTAACTGTGAAACCAATCCTTTCTTTATTCTTGTCATGCTCCTGCCATTGTTGACAGACATGGTATTTGTGAACAACCAAACATGCACATGCAGTGTTGCAGTAATTGAGGTATCCTATCTCCTAGAACTAGAAGGGACCTTGAAATGTCATCAAGTCCAGCCCCCTGCCTTCACTAGCAGGACTAAGTACCAATTTTGCCCCAGATCAGGTGCTCTGTAGCAAGCTCTCATGTTCTTCCCAAGACTCCCTGAACTCCAGGGCACGTGGTTACCATGTATGTGTGTTAAGAAGTCAGGTTATTGTATGGTATATTATGAAAGCAAAGTGTTCTCTGGTGCTTGCTGGTTAATAAGGGACCAAGAAAAGGTATCCTGAACAATTTAACTACTGGATTCTGTTTTTTCTCCTGGCACTGGACACAGTTTGCATTTCTGGCCTTATATACCTGCCATTTTTAATTTGAGCCACAAACTACTTCAGAATTGTTCCATCTTTCCTTCAAAGTTTAGAAGTGTCACTTCTTTCTCCTCACTATCCTCTGCTCTTTTTTTTTTGCTTGTGCTTATTCTTTCCACAGGTGTATGAACTGGATGGGACCAAATACAATGAATCCTGGTCTATGGCAGCGTATCAGGAGGTGGCGAGGCAGTTTGTTAAGGATCACCCTGATTTTATTGGAGCAAAAATTATATTTACAACACACAGGTAGAGGCTGCTTGCATGGGGCGAGTGTGGAAGTGTTCTATGTGTAAATGGTCATGTTGTTGTGCAGGCAGGATCAATTGAGTGGCACAAGTGGTTACAACAGAGAGACCGTGGAAGTGATCCAGATTGCATTGCTTCCAGTGTAGTGAGGCCTAGAATATTAACTCCTGAAGTGCTTTCCAGCATATAAACACCTGCAGATGGAAATGACTGAGGGTGAATGTGTGCAGTTGATCATAGAAGCGAGTATGTGTACATGTAAGATGATTGGGGTTTGTTAGAAATGATGGTGTGTATGGAAAAGTGATTACTCTTGAGCTGAAGGGAGTGGCAATGAGTGAGCAGGAAGCTGTGTTTCTGTGTGTGTGCACATGAGAAGTGAGTGTGTTTTCTCAAAGCCTTATGTTTTCTCTCCCTGAGTCTTGATGCATCATCTATTTCTGTGGAAGCAGGAGCAACAGCAGAACAGCTGGGGGATTGGTACTGTATATTTCAAAGCTCCTTCAGAGACCCTGCAAATGCTGCCTTCCCAGAAACGTTTATACACATTTGAATCCAATAGACTCTGATGGTCTGTAGTGGATTAATTTTAAAACACAATTAAAATGGAAAAACTCCAGCAAAATAATACACAGAGCATATTTAAATATTATCTATACAGCTGTTCTGGTTCTGCCCCCTCATTGGTTTATTGTTATAGGGGAGGTTGGCCAATTAGTCCCAAACAGTGTGTATGATGCTGGTTAACTCCAGTCATTTGTGCTTTTCCTAGGCATTTATGTGGGTTTTTTTTTTTAATATTGGATATTCCCTTAAGGCTCCTGGTCATAATACAGACAGAACCTGAGAAAGAGGTTCCATGGAAATGAGTATCAGCACCTTTCTCTGTCTCTTGGTTTTCAGAAAGAAGAACGTTACCGAGATTAAAAAAGCCATCAAGAAGGCCATAGACCTCCGAGCCATGTTCCCGGACACTCTGGCGGGATTTGACCTGGTATCTTTGTATTATTTCTTACTTGGTTTTGTATGTAATATTACAAGGGCTGAGTTGTGATTATTGGTACAAAGAGATTTCAGAGGGGAAAAGCAGCAAAGCAAGCTGTTGAAATGCTGCCCCACTGTCTTTCGTCCTGCAGGATCCCAAATAATTTTGTTTGAGTAAGCATCAGCCACTGCAGTGCAGCCACCTCTGGAGAGAAGTAGCTATAGAATGCCTCACAGCTATACTTTATAACTGCATCTAGGAAGTGAAGTGAAAAATATATATATATTTTTAATTTAAACTGCAGATGAAATTGAGGTGGGCAGGATGTAATTTGTGGAGTTGGAATTTGGCCAGGAAACTGCCAAATCTTATAGAAAATGCAGTGGGATTTTCAGTGACCACAAGTAGTCCTGATCTCTGTTCTAATCAGGACTTCAGTGCAGTGTCTCCTGAGACTCTGCAGGTATGTTACTAAGTCTTTACTCAGAGGAAAGAATGCCATCTACTTAGTCACGAGCAGCTGTATCTGCAGCGCAAGACATGTGCTGGCCATTACTATTAGGACTGAGACAGAGGGAGAGTGCCTACTGAAACTACCACAGAAAAATGGGATATAAGTTATCTTTCTTTGTGACACCAAACACAGCGTCTAAAACCTGATTATCTGTCAAGGTGAAAAGCAAGGGAGCAGCAACCACTATCCCAGACTTTCTGCAAAGTCATTCTCAGACTGCTTTTGTGTCTGTTGCTATCTCAAGAATAAGAGCTTTGGTGGGGATTGGGAATGTGTATGTGGGCACGAGTGCAGAAATGTAGGGAATTCTGTTACTGGTGGAGATGCAATGGCAGCGACATGCACTAGCATCCTTACTGGCTGCACTATGCTCTTGTTAAAAACATGTGTATGACTTATCTTTTACAGAGAGGGCCTGTTACAAACCAGGATAACTCGGTGGAAGTCAGTCAATGGAACTATGCTAGTTTTCAGCCCTGGAGGACCCGTTTAACAAAAAATGGGACTACAGTACTGGAATTTCAGATGGCAATGTAGGGTAGTTTCAAGTCAAAAGACTAGTGATCACCTGGAGCATGTTCAAAAACATCTTTATTCTTCTCCCCAGGTTGGGCATGAGGATGAAGGACGCTCTCTGTGGGACTTGAAGGATGCCCTGACCATTCCATACTCCAAAGGAGTCAATTTGCCTTACTTTTTCCATGCTGGTGAGACTGGTAAGCATGAGAACACAGGCCATGTAGGGGAGTGGATACTTGGATATTGAGGAGGAGAGCTGGTGGTCGTATCATGAGAAGTGGTCTGGTATATTCTGTTTCCCATCATTCTTCTACATCAGCAGAAGATCAGCTCACTGCCATAGCATATTGGATGATTCCTCCCAGTTTCCAGGTTCCACATCCCCTACCTGCTCCCTACTCTCTCCCATTGTCTTCATATCCCTCACCATCACCTGTGTCTGATACTCATTGTCCCCTTCACTTGTCTTCTGCATTGAACACTCTCATTTCCTCATCTTGGGATGTTCCTGGGCCTGTTCTTCTGGAGTCAGGCAGCAGGAGGTGCCACTGGTGTGGCACAGCCATCTCCTTCCCAGAGACATGTGATCAGCTGTCTCCTCCCAAACTCACCAGCACCAGAGAGGGAATTTTTGAAGCCATCACCAGCCAGAGTCATGTTTTTAAGCCTGTTTTCTAATGAATGTCACTGAGTCAGCTACATATTTTAGCTTAAATATGTTTATTCAAATAATTAAATATACCTTTTGTCCTTTATTGCTGGAATAACCTGTTTATATGCAGTATATTATTCACCCACCAGATGATATATAGTGCTGTAGAGAGTTCCAAGCTGGGTGTAGTCCTGGTAGACAAAGGAGAGAAGCCATGAGGAAGCCTGTTAGTTTGTATTTGAGGCATTTATTTAAAAAATAAAATAAATCAATTGCCTGTTTGAGAAGATCTGTTTCCATATAACATGGCAGTGATTTGGATCCATCTTTCTCTCCTCAGACTGGCAGGGCACCTCTGTAGACATCAATGTGCTCGATGCTTTGCTGTTCAATACCAGTCGGATTGGCCATGGATTTGCTCTCACTAAACATTTAGTAGCCAAGAAGTTGTCCCTTAATATGGATGTTCCTATAGAACTCTGCCCCATCTCCAACCAGGTAGGACCTACCTGAGTGACCTTAGGTCTCAAGTCAGGAGCTGGGACCAGAAATTTAGAATTTGATAAGTGACCTGCAGCAGGGTGTTGCTCAACATATATTGGTCTTTGTGTAGATACCGGTTAAGGGCAGGATGTATCTGTATTATCCTTTACCACTCTCCAGGTGCTCTTTGTCCTTCTCCATGACTGCCTCTCCTGTCTCATTGGCCATAGAAGGTCATTCTGAGAGGGAGATATATTATGGAGAGGATATTTGCATTTTTGGAAGGTGGGTGAGAAACAGAGGCATTTTTCTAGGTGGGAGGTTCTAAAGAACGTATTGTGGGAAGGGGGACAGAGGACTACTCTGGAGACTGAATTCCTGTCCTTAAACTCAACCATTATGGAGACATTCTCTGCTCGGTTTAATTGCCACACTTATTGGAAATTACATATGGTCTCTGCTTTCTCTTTCACCTATTTCCTTGTTCTGGTCTCTTTGGTGGGTTTTTTCCCCTTCAGAGCATAACATTAGGAATATGCATACAAACTATTATTATGATTATTTACTTGTATCGTGGTAGTGCCTAGAGGCCTGTAACAGGAAGCTGGTCCTTTGGGTATGTGTGCAGTCCAGCATGGCTTCTTACAGGGAAGTAGCTCCTTTAAGACAAGAGTTTTGAGACTTTTAGTTATTAGATGGAGCACATGTCCAAGGCTAGGTCTACACTACCCGCCTGAATCGGCGGGTAGAAATCGACCTCTCGGGGATCGATTTATCGCGTCCCGTTGGGACGCGACAATCGATCCCCGAATCGGCACTCTTACTCCACCAGCGGAGGTGGGAGTAAGCGCCGCCGACAGAAAGCCGCAGAAGTCGATTTTGCCGCCGTCCTCACAGCGGGGTAAGTCGGCTGCGATACGTCGAATTCAGCTACGCTATTCACGTAGCTGAATTTGCGTATCTTAAATCGACTCCCCCCTGTAGTGTAGATGTACCCCAAGAGTTTTGCTTTATATAGTCTCACAGACAGACATATGATCCCAAGTAACCTGATCCCTTGGGGTACATCTACACTACAGGGGGGAGTCGATTTAAGATACGCAAATTCAGCTACGTGAATAGCGTAGCTGAATTCGACGTATCGCAGCCGACTTACCCCGCCGTGAGGACGGCGGCAAAATCGACTTCTGCAGCTTTCTGTCGGCGGCGCTTACTCCCACCTCCGCTGGTGGAGTAAGAGTGCCAATTCGGGGATCGATTGTCGTGTCCCGTTGGGACGCGATAAATCGATCCCCGAGAGGTCGATTTCTACCCGCCGATTCAGGCGGGTAGTGTAGACCTAGCCTTGGTTTACTCTGTGAAGCCTTGTCTAGATTAGGATTTGTAAGGTGTTAACGAAAACATGTTGATAGTCTAGTGTAGACAAAGCAATGTACATTTAACATGTGTTAAACAGAGTTAAAGCCTTGCCCAGTTTAACACATGTTAGAGGCACACGGTGTGTTAGCTAATACCTTACAAATTCTACTCTACAGAAGACAGCTCTCCACTGTTGAGGCTGGAGGCCTGAGACTAGAGACAAGGAGGGACTTGGCCTGAAACAAGTGACTGTGAAGCCTTGGGGGAAGGGCCAGAAAGGAGTTGGAAAGTCTGGGTAACAAGGGTACAGGGTGAGCTCTTTCATCTGTTGTGTGGTGTGCAAGTACCCCAGAGGCACAGAAGTAGGGAAAACTAAGCTAGCCATATACTAAGATAGGAGGTCTGGGGAAGGAAACGCTGTTACAGGCTCCAGTCCCAGTGTACTAGGTGCTGTACAAACATATGATAGAAAGACAGTCTCTGCCCCAAAGAGCTTCCAAACAAGTATAAATATATACTGCAAATATCTGTAAGAATAACCCATCCTTGCTTCTTCCTCCTCCTCATCCCAAGGTCCTGCTGTTAGTATCAGATTTGAGGAACCATCCTGCTGCTCAGTTGATGGCAGAGGGACACCCCATGGTGGTTAGTTCAGACGATCCATCTATCTTTGGATCAAAGGGTGTGTCGTATGACTTCTATGAGGTGTTCATGGGCATCGGCGGGATGAGCGCAGACCTGAGAACTTTAAAACAACTGGCACTAAACTCTCTAAAGTAAGCACACATTCTTGCACTAGGAGTGACACGTGGGGAGATATTTGCCTGCTCTGCAGAGAGCCACCTTATTCTGTTTTCAGCCCAAGAGTCTCCTCTGTCACTCGGGCTGGGGTTCTGCTGACCCAAAGTCCTCCCCATGTCTCTCACAGAGCAGTGTAGCAAAATGAGACTCACCAGCACGGTGCCTCCTGCTGGTCATCCTGCGAATTAGCTCTTCCAGCCCAGAGCACCCTCTGCAGGCCGGTGTCTCGCCTGCCGCTGGCCCCCGTGTCCCTCCCAGACCCTGGTGCCCCTCTACATCCAGGTTCTGCCCCCAGGAGTAACCCACAATCTGGGCCTCCCCAACCCTCTATCCCCACCTTGCCTCAGCGGCTACTGCCAGTCACCATCTAGCCCCCACTCACTGGGGCAGACTGCAGTCTGTAAACTGCTCATCATCAGCAAGGGGGGTTGAACCAGCTGCCTCTGCCTATTCCCAGCCCTGCTCCACTCCAGGCACCCTTTTCTCCCAGGTAGCCAGTCCTTCTCTCTTAGAAGCTAGAGAGAGAGTCTTCAGCACCTGCCTCACAGCACTTTCATAGGGCCAGCTGTGGCCTGATTGAGGCATGGCCCCAGCTGTGGCTGCTTCCCCAATCAACCTAGCCTTTCCCAGCTGCAGCCCTCTCCAGGGCTGCTTTTAACCCCTGTTCTTCAGGAGTAGGATAGCCGTCCCACTACAGGCAGGATTTGAGGGGCTTGTGCTATCCCAGAGTCTACGCTGTCCATTGTCAATACAGCGTCTCTTGGTGTGTGTCTCTTTCCCTCCCCTCCCCTACTCCATCCAGTTCCAATTTATCTATGGAGCCTGGTCTCTGGCAAGAGAGGTGATTTTTTTCAAGTCACTTTTCATTTGTTTGAATTTTACTTAGTTGTATATTTTGCAGAGACCCATTATGCATCCTCTGATGGCTTGACCAATGTGCCCAACGCATTCTGGCCTGCATCTGAAGCTTTGTCTATTTTCCCAAAGATGATGCCCAAGCCTGTATCAATCCTAGGCATCCTACAGAGGTTTGGAGGACAAATCTGTTACTTCCTGCCATTAGGAAAAGGTGACAGAGACCTTTTTAATCTTCATCTGAGGCAACACAAAGAGTTAATCTTTCCTAGCTTCCTGCCTTTTCATTTTGGATTCGGATCCTGAAGTAGTTTCCCCTCCCCGGCCACCCCAATCCCATGTCTAATCCTTGCTCTTTTTGATCCCACAGATACAGCTCCTTGCCGCCAAAGGAGAAAGCCCAGGCCAAACAGGTCTGGCAGAAAAAATGGGACCAGTTTATAGCTGACCTCTGCAATGCTTTTCCAAGGGAGCTGTAGTGGGGAGGATGTCTGCACGGCAGAGGGAACTGGGGCTACTGCTAATGCAGAGAGAATTCTTTTTCTATGTCACTTGAGCAAACAGCACTCAAGCTGTGGCCTGGAGCCGGGTGATTTTGGCCAATTATAGTTAATAGCAATTGCCCATACCTCTATACATTAATGTCATTGGATGCAGGTGAAGCAGAGCAGTGAGCCTTTAAAACAGAAGCAAAAAGTGCTGTAAATGATCAAAGTAACTAAAGTCAAAATACCATTAAAATCGTGAAGTGCTTACTCACTTTTTAATTCTTGTGAATGGGAGTTTTCCCTGAGCAAGGACTTCATGATTTTGCCTCACATCATTATAAAATAAATATCTCCTCAGGAAACGGCTAGTACAAACATCCCACCATCTGAACCCCTTGACTTTCAGGAGGGCAAGGATTGAAAGCGATTGTTGTCTGAGATCTGTGACTGGTTATGTTTGACCCTGGGCCCGGTGCCAAAATAGTACTGCTAGACTGAGGAACCAGGTCTAAGGTCTGACATCTCAAGACGTAAGGGCTAGAAACAAGCTGATGGACCTGTACAAATGCTTTCAAAACTTGTATACTTTATTAAGCAGTGATCAGCAAAGAATGCAAGCACTGATTGCTGAAAGGAGATACTTCACTCTGGGACCCACCTTTGTAGGGATTTCAATACACTTCTCAGTTGGAAAAGAACCCCTGACTTCAAGAGGTATCTCTCAGATCCATATTAAATAAAGCACCGATCCAGCACTGGAATCCACTAGTGCAGGCCCCTGCACCCATGTGAAATACTCTGAATTTCAATGGGATTCAAGGTGTACTGGCAGATCCCACTGCAGGATCTGGTCCCGGTGTGCCTTTAGTGAGTCCCTGAGTCCATAGCAATCAGATCTCCGATGTATTAAAGAATTAGTCCCTCGATATGGCTTCAATACAGTGCCAGTGGCATTCACAGTTATCAGCTCTGCAGAAGAAAGACAAAGCAGCAAGAGCACAATTTAAATAGTAACTAGATAGAGTCCTTTGAAATAATTGTGACAAAAACTGCAGAAGTAGAAGTGATTGTGCCAGGATGATTTCAGGTCTGACAGTTTTGAATAGGGAAGGCTTAAAAAAATTCTGATTCAGATGTTGGCTGTCTCAATTAAATGGATTTAGCAAAATCCTTCAGTATAAGAGTTGTGGGGTCAGATCCTCAGCTGGTGTAAATTGACATAGATCTGTTGACTTTAGTGAGGCTACACCAATTTACTCCAGCTCAAGATCTGCTCTGGAGACTTTAAAATGTTCTTAAAATTGTTCCCAGTTAACTGAGTTTTTCTCTCCAATGCATAAGACTTGGTAGGACTGTCATTTCCAGGTCTGTCCACCTCAGGTTAATTACTATTATACTAATTATCCTGAGCTGTCTGGCAATAGTATTTATTTTCACTAATCTCGGTCACAATGCTTCAGTAGAGCACAAATATATTTACCACAATAAGTGGTTCAGTTGTATTGTGTGCATGCACGGTACTCACAATTTTAAATAATCCAAACTCCATGGAGCGTATTTTTGTGTATGTATATTCCCATGCAAAAAATATTTATTACACCCCTGTATTGAAGATTCACACCTAATTTAAGGTTGCTAGACCGCACAGCCCACCAGTGCAAACCATAAAAAATGCAGAAGTAAGCAATGAAGTCCATTTAATATACCATCCTCACCTCACTCATCAGTTCCTTTCTCAACCACAACTACCTCCATCTCATAACCCACAGCCTCCATATCTCTACCTTCCTCCTGAACATCCAATAGCCACTCTTATAAGCAATAAAACTTGAATTGGAGTTTATGTTCACATTTTCATTAATATGGGGTTATTGTGGCTCTCATAAATGATAAAGTATTTCATTCCATATCGATGTGTGAGTGAGTTATGGCACCACATCACAAACACTGGCTGTGAAACATGCTTTTATTGTAATATTTGGGGAAACTGAAGTGAAAAGGGTATATGTGTTAGTGACTGGTCTAAAGTTAGGTCCTTCTGAGCATGCTCAGTGGATTTCAGTTTGCTACGTGTGAGTGGAGAAGGAGCCTGTATTCACCAGTGAGTTGGGACTCCCTTTGGCGTGAATCTTTGATACGGGGGTGTAATAAATGAAGGGTGGGGGTAGCTCCCTTTTATGGACACCCAGCCAGCTAGTAGCTATAAAATCCCTCTTAGTAGCTGTTCTCTAATTGCTTTACCTGTAAAGGGTTAAAAAGTCTCACTGCTATGCATAGGTAAAAGGAAGTGAGTGGGCACCTGGCCAAAAGTGCCAATGGGAAGGCTAGAACTTTTTTAAATTGGAAAAAAAAAAAAGACTCCACTTTTGTCTGTCTGTTGTTCTCCCAGGGGAGGTGGACAGGGTAACAGTTATGCTGTAAGAAGCTTGGGCCACATATGAAAAATAATCAGTATTATACCTAGAAACTACTCATTTAAAACCCCAGATATGTAAGTAGATCAGGAAATGTCTAGGAAGACGTGATTAGGTTTATCCCTTTTATTTCTTTATGGCTTATGGATTCCTCTGTGCTAACCCCAGGTGCTTTTGTTTTGCTTGTAACCTTTAAGCTGGACCTCAAGAAAGCTATTCTTGGTGCTTAATCCTTGTAGTTGTTCTTTTAAAATCTAGCAATAGCCTGAATTCCCAGATGTATTTTTCTTTCTTTTTTTATTAATAAAGGTCACCTTTTTAAAGAACAGAATTGGATTTTTGTGCCCTAAGAGGATTGTGCATATGTTGTTTAATTAGTTGGTGCCAACAACTGATTTCTCTTTTTTTCCCCCTCCGCTCTTCCCCAGGGGGGATGGGAGGAGGAAGAGCTTGACGGTACACCACAGGAAGGAATTCCCAAGTGCGCCTTCCTGGGTTCTCAAAGGGGTTCTGACTTGGGTGGTGGCAGCATCTACCCATCCAAGGTCAGAGAAAAGCTGTAACCTTTAATACAGTTTAATACAAGCCTGGTGTGGCCAGTATTAATTTTTAGAATCCTTGCAGGCCCCCACCTTCTGCACTCAAAGTGCCAGAGTGGGGAATTAGCTTTGACGGGGGTGAAAATGATAATATTTCTGTATAACTGTGGAAAAAAGCAATGAGCTGTTTAAGAGGCTCACCAGTATCCCCTCCATTTCCACCTTGGCAAAAAGCCTTTAGTAACAGCAATAGTGGCACACACACGCCATACTTATCTTCTTTTGCAAGCTTGAATCTTTGATGGTCTTTTGGCCAGCAACATTGCTCTAGCCATCACCTGCAAGCATTCTCTCCAATGTCTGCTCTACCGTTGCCAGCTCTGGCAAACCAGTGTACCCACACCTTCCTATGAAGGATCCAGTCAGATGTCTGGCATGAATCATGATGTAAGTGTTCAGGGACTCTTACTTCTTGACAGTCAGTGTGGTGCAAGGCTCTCAGTGCCTGGAACCTTTCAGTGGATGGTACTCTTCATAATTATAGGAAGGTTTATACTGTGCAGATCTGATGAGATTGGAAATTCTCCAGCTGGTTAATGCAAATAAAAGAAGTGTTGCCTTAAATGGCTCATCTTTGGACCAGTGACCAGTCCAGCGATTGCCCTGCCACCTGAGGTATCCCAGTTTGGGTTAGGTCTGCTTGTAGATACTTCCCCATCACTATTCCAATCAGATTTTGTTTTCAATGTAGTAAGTCTGAATTGAATGGAGGGCCCTGACTTCTCTGTATGTGAATTTGCACTATGTTCCTCCTTGCATCTCTCTTTGAACAGGATTTGTACTCCATGTCAAGATCAGGTCTTCCAGAGACTTTTATAGCAGTAGATGAATTTCACCTTGAAAAGGTCCTACAGCCAGTTCTCTTGAGTGACAGATGGAAGGGGGAATGGCCTGGACTGCCTCTCTGCTGGGGAACAGTCCTCTCCTTTAGTTTGCCTTATATTAGAGATGGGCCACAAAGTCTGGTTCTGGATCCAACTCCAGGTGTGTTAACATCCAGGGATTTGGGTTGACTGCTTATAAAGAAAGAGTCAGACATATTCAGGTTAGGAGTCAAATGTCCTCAGAGTTGAGAAGTAGTTTGGATGTAGGGTGTAGCTTAGAGTGACCCATCGTTTATTATTTGTGATGGTGCCTAAAGAATCCTGACACCACCCTCCACATTATACTCATGGCTCTACAGACATGTAGTAAGTAATTCCTATTTTATTTCTTTCAACATTTAATAAACTTAATGAGTTTTTAAATCTGTTTCCATGCGTCTGTTTCTGTCTCTTGCTCTTTTTAAAAAAAAATCTTTTGACTTCAGACTTAATCCTGGGAGGTACAATAGGAGTTGAAAGTGCATGGGGCTTTTCAAAATCATGCCCCTAAATCAGGGATTCTCAATTTTGTTCAACGGGTGTACCAAATCTCAGTACAGAGCTTGTCTCATGGACGCCTCCTGTCCCATTTACAATGGCCGGGACCACCTCACCTCCCATGTGTGTTCACGTAAGATTCCTGTGGCAGCTACAGCTATTGCCTACATGGGAAAGTAAAAGGAATTATCGAATAACAATAATAATATTTAGCTCTTTTATACAGAGCTTCTTGTCAGTAGATCTCACAGCTCTTTACAAAGGAGTAAATGTTTCATTATCTCTTACTCTATGTACATAAGAATTTTAATTATTATTATTAGCAGTATTTTTAGCTTCTTTTAACACAATTTATTAGCTGGAATCAAATAAAAGAGCAGGCATCATATGACCAGCTCAGCAAGTTTGAGGACCTCTGCCCTAAGCAATAATGATCAATGGGGACAGCATTTCCTGTCAGCGAATGAACAGCTGGAAGAACTGAGGGGCTGAGATGAATCCTCAGGAGGTGTTCAGATATTGTAGAATAGAAAACCCATGGGGCCTTAATCTGCCACTTGCTTCAAATGGGTTTTATTATGACTACAGCAGGCCCCACACTTATTACCTTTCCCCATCACTCTCTCAATATTTTGTAATATTTCCCCTTTGGTTTTATTTGTTTGAATGGTAAGTGGGTAACTCTTCATTATAAATGTATTGTGATATTTGTATGGTGTTGCACAGTGGCCTGAGTGCCTTGGCTAGGAGGTACCTTAATAAATTAAATGTTTATGCCCTGATCACTAATAGCCAGGAAATGCCTGACACATTTGTGGTTGTTAGGCAGGCCATTCGTCTGGTTTTAACAAGCTGGACAGTCCTGTTTTTGTCTGGTTTGTTCCCTGTCCAGTGCTGATATAAAACCAGACGTGGTTTTGTCCTCTAGCATGCACGGAGGAGGCCATTTTGCAGAGTACCCTGCTTCACCTCTGCCAGTAGGATCTCACATGCATGCTGTGTGTGAGGTCACGCTGGCAGTGGTGGGGTCATGCAGGTGGGAACAGTGACAATGAGGGCCCACATCTTGGATTCTGGGCATTCATCATAGGGTGACCATCTTTGCTTGATGGAAATAAGGGAAAACCACAAGGGAAAAATACTTTTTTAAAGGACATTTTAGTGAAACACCATTTCCCTTAGCATATCATATATTTTCTCTCAAGTGTGCATTTCCACTGTCCTCAAGTTTACAATGCAATTAAGTACCATTTTAAACATTAAATTGAAGTTTATCAGTTTTAATATGTTTCAATACATCTTAAAATAAGGGACAGGTAATCACTCTAAGGACAAATCAATTAAATAAGGGATGGTCCCTTAAAATAAGGTACACATGGTCACCCTACCACAGATGTCAGAAATCATGCAAATAAAAACATTAAGAGAAGGAATATAAAATAGCTGCTTTTTAAATGGTTGAAACTAGAATTGAGCCCTTAGATCTAAACTTCCTGTCAGCTACAATCTCAACAATGGGACTGAGTAAATTCCAGCTCCAAGTTTTTGTGGCTGACCTTTAGAGCACAGACCCCCCTCTAACCATCACACCTGAACTCATAATGCTATTGAGATGTGGCCCAATCAGCAACCACCACTCAGCCTGCCTCAATATATGAACAAACTCTTCTGGCCTTGGTCACTGTATCAGTCTCTCATTGCTAGGAAAAGACCAGTTCTTTGAACAGAACCTCTTACCCATGTGAACAAACAGCAAACAAGCCCTGTAATGACTAATCAGGTAATTAATTTATTTCTCTCTTGTTTTTCTTCTTCTTCAGAACTTTGTGTTTTCAGGGGTTACAGCTTCAATATTGACAAGAGGGTCAAGCATCTTCTATCTATTAATAGAGAGGATGGGTGTGGGCCCTCACCACTTCTGGCTGGTCACTAGTTTCTGGTAGTGCCCTCCCCAATGGTCATTACAGTATATTAAATGCATTTTAGTATATTTTTCTTTCCCTTTGACTTGCCCATCACTAGATGAGCATTGCGCAGGCTGAGCAGCTGTGCAGAGGAGGAGAGGCGGAAGGCAGCTGGCTGTCCTACCACTGGTAGGGACTCAAGACATTAGAGCCAGTGTGTGGGAGGAGGAAATCAGGCTGTAAGTGCTGGCTCTTCTGAAGCTGATGCCAGAAGGCCAACCAGGCAGGGTGGTCACAGGTGAAAGGATCTACAGGTGGGTATTACTGTGCCTACTGCTTCTGCTACAGGACAATCACTTGAGTTGCTGACCATACATAGCCCCAAAAATAGGGGTCCAAGCAACTGGTTGCTTTGTCTGTTGTTAAAGCCAGCCCTGGAAAGAGAAATCTGGGTTTAAACACTGGTGCTGAGAGTGAAGAAGGGAAAATGGGAACAGTGCCCTGGTGGCAATGTGGTGATGGGTGGAGCAGGAAGAGAAAGGTCTGGTGCTCCAGTGGGGTGGTGGAGGTGAGGACTCTGAAGGTAGTGATGATGGGGTGCTGTGGAGTGGGAACTGGAATTTGGCAGCTGCATTGTGTGGGGAAGGAGGATTAAGGCCCAATGTCCCCCTACAGGAAAAAAGACCGCTCTCATTGGAGTTAATGGGAGTTACGCTATCCTGTGAATGGGAATTGATCCAGAAGGGATTTAGTGCAGAGATGAGAGAATCAAGGTATGGCAGTTGCTGATGCTGGAATTATCTGGATTCAGCAGCCAATGGATGGTGTGTGTTGAGGGACAGATATTTGTTTGGCAGCCATGTTGTAGTAGTTTATTGTGAATGGCATGCAAACTTCAGCCTGTTGGATAGTCTTATTTATAAAAATAGGTACAGTCTCCTTTCCCACCTTTACAGGAACATTTGCTGTAACTGGCTGGAGGGCAAACTTCATTTGTGGGAGCCTGTCCAAATGCAATAACTCTGTACTGAGCAATGCTTCCCTCCCCACCCCCCCCGCCCGATCACAGAACCAACCCCCATTGCACAAAAGGCTGATCTCTGCATTAGTTATATGGAGTAATGAGCCTAAAGACATCTGCCCCTAGAACATGGTTCCAGCACCCGCCCTTCTGTGGTGAACATAAGGCCCTGGTTCACTTCAGCATTTAGAAGCTTCAAGAAAGTGTTATCCAACACCAGCCACTTTCACTGACATGATTCCTGGGCAGAAAATACTCTAGAATATATGTACCCAATCAAATGTTTCTTTAACAAAATATTAATATATCTTGGGAGGAAACGGCCCTTTCAATCTGGGGTTACTGAACCTGTAATTTTAACGGGGACCATATCTGTCTCCAATAGGAAATTAAAGATTCTGAGGCTGTCCTCACGGCTGACCTGAAAAACTGACAGCAAGAAAATTTCAATTTTTGTTATAAACTATTAAAATATATCCCCATCTTAAATGTAGGCACTTTGGACCCCTTTCTGCTACCCTTCCAGAGAGGTGGCCTTTTGCTAAGATCACTTATATCAATTTAACATTCAATATGTTCTGGGGACTTGCAATGGAGATGGACTTAGTTAACGGGTGGGCATTTTCTGTTTTACTGTTTACTGAGTGCCAATAGTATGCTAATTTTTCTAACTGTGATCTCCAACTTCTATTACCTTATTAATGCATCAGTGGTTGTATTCTTGTGGTACAAAGTGACACCTGCTGGCCAGTTACAATAACATTGTTTGAATTCCTGGCACGAATGAAATGCAGGGTGATCTCTGCAGGTGGTGGGAGACATCTGGTGTGGGGTATCAGAACTCACAACTGGCCTGTCCTTAGAATGTGGCGTACAATGGGTCCCAAAATAAGCAGTGTTTTTCATCCTGCTTTTTACCATGGATGTACCAGGATCTGCAAAGCAACCTTTATACTAGATTTTCAAAATTATATGAAAAATTGTGTTTCCAGGCTGGTAATCTACTTGCTGCCCTTTGCCATGGGCATGGTGATGAGACTGAAAGTATTTGCTAGTTGAGGGTGACACACTGTAGGCCTTTGTTGCCTCTGTAGGCTGAGCTTATCGCACATACCTGCGGTTACTTGCAGTCTTCCCCACAAGCTCCCTGTGTGCCACCCTCCCACCCCTCTCGATTCCAGCGACTCCCTGCAGCCCCCACCTTCCCCCCCCCCCATGCCACAGGCTCTGTGTACCTCCCACCTCTGTTCCCTCTCTGCCATCTGCCAAGGGCTCTGTGTGCCCCCAGCTCCCGCTGCCTCCCCCGCTCCTCATACTAGGCTCCCCCCCCCACCTGCGGTTGTGTGTGCCCCCCAATGCCAGGCTCCCAGTACGCACCCCCCACCCCACATTCTTATTGGCTGTGTTTCTATCTCGGCCACCAATGGTGACAAGGCTGCTCGGGGCGCCCGACCACCGAGGAAAAGCCCGGGGAGAACAGCCCCGCCAGGCCGTGCGTGCTGCCCTGTGACGCCATGAGGGTTTGGGCCGGAGAGACGTCATCTCAACGCACTGTGACGTAAGAGGCTTTGTGCCAGCCAAGCTGCGGGGCTGGCGCGCCTTACATAGCCTCTGCAGGGCTCGCAGCCGCCACCAGGGCGCAGGCGCGAGGGACAGCAGCGGGCGCGCGGCCCGCGCAGCCAGGATAATGACCTCTGCAGCGGGCTCCAGCGCCGGCTTGAGGCGAAGCTGTTGTACAAAAACTACAGTATCCGTCATGCCCCGGGACGCAAAACCCCCTTTCCTGCCAGCGCTGAGCTGGAGCTTTGCATTCTGGAAGATGGAGTCCTGGAGCATCCATGCCGGCCACCGCGTGGCCGGAGGTGGAAATACAACTACCATTTACCATGATGCCTTGCGCCCGGGGCCATGGAACCTGCCCCGCGTTCTGTGAGGCATGCTGGGAGCTGTAGTTCCCTCCAACCCCCAGCGGGAGAGTCGGACTCCCTTGTGGGCCCCCCGTTCTTGTCCTCTGATTCGCGGCGGGGGGCGAGGAGGGGCTCCTCGCGGCAGCGGCGGGGGATGGGTCTAGGTTGCCTGCGCTGCGCGAGCAAAGCTGCTATGAGGCGATGGCGGCGCGGGGGGCTTTGGGCGCTGCCCCCAAGCAGCCAGAGGGGCCTGGGCGGGGGCCCCCTCGGGGTGACTGAGGTAAGAGCCCCGGTGGCCTGGGCTGGGCGGGCGCTGGGGGTTGCAGCCTGTGGGGCGCGGGGGCAGATAACGGAGCGGGGTTAGGGTGACCAGACAGCACGTGTGAAAAATCGGGAGGGGGGGGGGATAATAGGAGCCTTTATAAGAAAAGGACCCAAAATCGGGACTGTCCCTATAAAATTGGGATATCTGGTCACCCTAGAGCTGGGGGATACGTATGGTGCTGGCTCTGGCTGGTACTAGCGCAAGAGCTCGGCTGGCTTGTTGTTTGGTGGGGCTCGGCTGGTGGGTGAGGACAAGGGGTGAAACCCCAGGGATGTGTGTGTGGTGGGGGGGAGTCCTAGTGGCTTGAGTGGGATTCCTGGGCTGACTTCCTGACCGTGCGACACACTCCCCATGTCTGTGCCTCTGCTTTTCTAGCTGTGTCATAGGGGCCTCCAAAACCTCCCCATCTGGTGCAAGTTTCTGAAGTGCTTTGAAAGTGTGACTTGCTCCATACGGACTGATACAGTATTTACTATGAAGCCACCAGAAGCTCCAGTTAAGGCAATGGGTAGCAGTAGAGCGTGAGATTTTTCTCTCCTGGTCCTGGGACAAGCAGAAATAGTTATTGATTTATTTGTATTTTTAAAATCATCACAAGAGGCTCCTCTAATTGTTGACTAAAAAATACACTAGATGAATATGTCCACAAAAACATAAGAACGGCCTTACTGGGTCAGACCAAAGGTCCATCTAGCCCAGTATCCTGTCTTCCAACAGTGGCCAATGCCAGGTGCCCCAGAGGGAATGAATAGAACAGGTAAGTGATCCATCCCCTGTCGCCCATTCCCAGCTTCTGGAAAACGGAGGCTAGGGACACCATCCCTGCCCTGCCTAGCTAATAGCCATTGATTGACCGATCCTCCATGAACTTATCTACTTCTTTTTTGAATCCTGTTATAGCCTTGGCCTTCACAACATCTTCTGGCAAAGAGTTCCACACGTTGACTGTACGTTGTGTGAAAAAATATTTCTGTTTGTTTGTTTTAAATCTGCTGCCTATTCATTTAATTTGGTGACCCCTAGCTCTTGTGTTATGGACACCAGTCACGATTTTATGGACCTCTATTATATCCCCCCTTAATCATTTCTTTTCCAAGCTGTCAAGTATCAGAGGGGTAGCTGTGTTAGTCTGGATCTGTAAAAAGCAACAGAGAGTCCTGTGGCACCTTTAAGACTAACAGATGTATTGGAGCATAAGCTTTCGTGGGTGAATGCCCACTTCGTCAAATGCCACAGGACTCTCTGTTGCCTTTTCCAAGCTGCCTCTCTGTTGCCTTTTCCAAGTTGAAAAGTCCCAGTCTTATTAATCTCTCCTCATATGGAAGCCAGTCCATACCCCTTATCATTTTTGTTGCCATTTTCTGAACCTTTTCCAATTCTAATATATCTTTTTTGAGATGGAGTGACCACATCCTCATGTAGTATTCAAGCTGTGAGTGTACCATGGATTTATATAGAGGCAATATGATATTTTCTGTCTTATTATCTATCCCTTTGAGCCTGCAAACCAGGCTCGCAGCTTGTGCCAGGAGAAGAGGGAAGCTGGTCACAAGTCATGGGGAGCAGTGGCTCCTGTCCTGATCCTGTCTTGTACAGCAGAATTCTAACAGGGATGCTGGAAAGTGTTCACTCACTGCCTGCCCCTTAAGGAACACATAGATGTTAATGAAGGGCACGCTTTAAAATGCCTATCAGTGCTCTGCTGTGGTTGCTGGGCTGTTCTAATGCAATCTGACGGCTGCTTCTATACAGCCCCTAGTCTAGTGCAACGTGAACTGTGCACTAAATAGTAGATGGGCACTGGTGTCACTGTCATGTGTCATGCATTCTGGCACATTAACAGCTGTGAATTGTCCATAGAACTGGGCTGAAGGTAACTGTAGCTCACTCTGCTTTTATTTTCTCACCATTCTGACCAAATCAATGCCCCAGTGACAGAACTTATGGTGGACTGTAGGAAGCCCCAAATAGCCACCTACTTTGCATGTTCCTAAGGCTGGCTCTGGGCAAGATGCTCTGGGAGAGGGGCAGCCAGACTCCCGGGTAGCCAACTGGATATTGGGTAAATATGGCAGCTTGTTTCCTGAAGGAGCTTTTGATCTGGAACTGGTAAGTATACTGTAGTCATGCTTCTGGACCATCTCATCTCCTTCCCAGGGGCATTTTCTCCTTGATTTCTGTAAGAGCAGAGCATGGTCCAAATCAGTTTGCATCACTCTACCATAATAAGCAAAAGCCAGAGATGGGTTGGAACCACAGAGATGGGATCTATTCGATTAGCCCCTAATTGGGAGATATGGACCAGGTGGTGTTCGGGTTCAGACTCATTTCTGTTAATAACACATGCCACTCTTTTATATAGGCTTCTCCACCACAGATCTCAAATTGCTCACAAAAATAAACATCATTAGACCTATTTGACAAATACAGAAGTTGAGGCACAGAGGTCAGATGATGGCCAGCCTCACACAGTAGATCAGTGGCAGAGTCAGGAATGAAGCTAGGACTCCTGACTTTCAGAAATTGGACTACGTTGCCTCCCTTTAATTACACATGTTGGCATTTTCTTACTAAAGGGGGGAGAGGGCATGTGGTGAGATTGCATGGGATAGGTTGGGAATAATACTCCTTCTTAGCCGCCGTCCTTTTTTTTTTTTTTTTAGGTAGCAGCTGGTCACTTTTTAAAAGAACCTTTTGTTCTTCCTTTCTCTGTTTTTTCCCAGTGCCGCAGTAATTGCTATAAATCTGTTTATGTTGCAGACTCCTCCGACCTTTGGGTTCCTGTTTGACATTGATGGAGTGCTTGTTCGGGGACGCTATGTGATTCCTGCTGCCCAGGAGGCCTTCCGGAAACTGGTAGACTCTAATGGACAGCTCCGGGTGCCGGTAGTCTTTGTGACAAATGCTGGGAATTGCTTACAGGATGTCAAAGCCCAGGAACTCTCCGATGCTCTGGGGTTGAAGGTAACAAGAGAATCAACCTCCTCTGTCCTGGGGCATTGGGTGGAGGCCTTGGGTTTTAAATTGAAGCTACACAAAAGGTTTTAAAAAAAAAAAAAAAAAAAAAAGTACATGTGCGGGAGACTCTTCACTTTGACAGCAGAAATCCCATGTCTCTTTTCATCAGTGTCCCCCTACCAGGAGCTTGGTGGGAATCCATTGTCATCAGTCATTCACTTTATTTAACTTTCTTCAGCACTATAGGATTGCAAAACCAAAGCTAAAAGAAGAACCCAAGTTTAGTCAAAATTAGAAACTAAGCATGTAAATAGCAAGAGAGCCAGTTAGAGGCCCTGCGGAGATGTTCTTGTGCAATATACAGCTGGTCACTTGAAACTAGTCTGAGATCACATTTCATGCACGCTGCCAAACCGCCATCAGCGGGGAACAACATGCTCACTAGTTGTCAAAAGGCTTCTTATCCCAGCTCCACTTCGCTAGGCTGGCCAGTCACCTATCCCAGTGTCTGTAACTGAAAATACCATGTCTGAGCTGGAGGAAGGAGATATTCTACTGCTACAAAACAAGTCCAAATGGTTATGTAGCTGCACAGCTGACATCAGCACTGCCCTGCTGCCAGTTCTGTCCTTACCATGGAGCTAATTCATCCACATGTTTCTTGTATCGGAGCAGCAAGTAAGACCCAGTGGAGCAAGGTAGCCAGGCATACTCTCCAACTAAGAATTCTGGAGCAGTCGGATCAACCCATTAAGTCCAGAGATTTAAAGCTGTTCAATCCAGACTAGTTCTCAAAGCTGTGTTTTAATTCACCAGGCTCAGAAGGATAGTGGCTGGGCAGGCCCTATGTGTTCAGTCCCTACACTGCCAAGCACCCCAATGTTGCTATCTAAATGATGATGGCCCCTAGTTCATTAGACATCTGGGGCTGGTAAGAAGGCCATCAAAAGATGGTGCTGGATTGGTTCTAGCCCAAGATATTCAGTGGGGTGGAACGTGTGGTGGCCTTGTTCTCAGAGGTCTAGCTCCACTTCAGAATCTGCTCCTAGTGACATGGTGAGTAGAATACAGTGGAGTAGAGAGTATTATCTGTATGCAAGTTTGTTTGGGTAGTGGTTATGGATGCAGAGTTCTTCTCTGTGTTGGCTTAACCAGCTGGAACTCAGCCTGCGGCTGTGGCTTGCCCTGGTTGTCCACCTCAGTGTAGGCTCGTCTCCTCCCCCTATAAATGAAATGAGGGGAAAGGGGGTGTGATGTTGTGCAGTCTATATGGTTTTATAAAAATATAAGTGAATATAATGTAACTGGCATATGCTTCATGCAAAAGG